GTGTGTGTGTGTGTGTGTGTGTGTGTGTGTGTGTGTGTGAGACACACAGGTCACAGCAGGATTGTGTTATTAAAATGCATGCATCCCTTGAAAGACAAGAAAATCCACCAAATTACCATACCCCCTTTTTTTTTTTACTTTCTATGCAGTGGAAAATATTCAAATCCTACTTTTTTTTTCCTGCTACTATTTCTCAAGATGCATGGAATAATTAGCTATAGCTGCTCGCATGTTACTGTAAATAGGCTGCAGATTGTGCACATTCAGTAACCTCCAGTTAAAGCAAAGGTAAAAGGATCATGTGTGTGTGTGTGTGTGTGTGGGGGGGGGGGGGTTCTGCAGAACTAAATGAGTTTAACACAAACAGTCGGGAGATTGTTATTCCTTCCACAGAATACTATACTGAATATTGGAAATGTTGAATCTATTCGTTTAAAGTGATATTCTGACCGTTTCAAGGTGAGGTGCTTCTAAAACCAACAATATAAAAATGTWTAAGAGTGTGAAGGTGTTTAAGGTTACAGCTGTTTTATGATCGCAGCATCCCACTTTAGTTTTAGCTGTTCGGACTAGCCATTAGCTCATCAGTCCTGTCACTTTATTTACCTGTGAGGCCATTCAAAGAGCTRTCCACAACAGGTAGGATATTATTTGTTCATACACAGAATCCCACTTCAAAAATGCTCAGAATATTCATTTAAATCCTTGTAATATTTGAACATTTCATGTTTTCCTGTTTGCACCCTGCTAATGTTTGCTGACAGAACAGGACCTGCAAAGGTTGAGGGAACTAGGGGTGCACAGGGTGCCTGACTGTGAGAAGGTTGCAGGATCACCTGCTGGTCTGTCATAGTAGAGTTTACATGTTTCTCCCTGATATGTGAGTAAGAGGGGGGTGGTTGTGTGTCTCAGTTGTCTCTATGTGTCCCCGGGATGGACTGGTGACCTGTCCAGGGTGTCCCCATCCTCTCCCACTGGGACTGCTGGAGATAAACACCAGCATCACGTGACCTGGACAGGTAGAAGCAGGAAAATAAAATTCCTTGTTCTCCAGATTGAATGTGATAAAGATGTGGTTTTAATAAAAAAAATAAATAAACGAAGCAGCAGCAGGAAGTTTTGTCTGACTCATCAGTCAGAAACTGACGGAGCTAAAAGAGATGGCTCCACATGAACGGGTCACAGGTCCAACAGGTCAGGGAGGTTCAGAGACCTGGTTCACAACCAATCAGATCATTTCATCAGCTGAAGGTTCAGACCTGCAGCTGAAGCTTTATTTAAAGCAGCCAAATAATGAGATAATGTTCATCCAGGCGATACAGGCCAGGGTTATTTAGGTTTCATGTGTATGCCTGTGTGTGTTAGCAAAATATCTYATGAACTGCTGAGCTAATCTTGTAGAAAGTTTTCACTGGGCGGACATCTACAACCGTTAATTATAACTCAGTCAGTTTTACTGATACTGACCTAAACCTTGGTGTGGTAGTAGCTGAGGGTCATTCACAGCACATACTCTAAGCACAGTTTATAGAAATATAACATCAGATCATATCAGGTTTGACCAAATGGTTGTTTTCATAAGATGGTCTGAACTCTGGTGACAGGCGGAGGCTTCATTCCTCTAAAGAAAACCAGACCTGATGATCTCTGACAGGTACAGAACGGTTCTAGTCCTGATCCACGCCTCTGCCCAGCTSTGCCCCCACGGAGCCCCTGGAAGGGACCCCCGGGAGTCCCCGGACCTCTGTTTGGAGGCGCAGCTGGGCCGTGTCCCCGGGGTAGCGGCTGCCTGTGACCCACCTGCGGTTGTGGAGCAGCTGAYGCGCCGCAGTGAGAATGAAACCATGCTGCTGTAATGAGGAGCCGTCCTCCTCCTCCTCCTCTCCATGAGCGCAAACATCAGAGGTTTGTGTCCGCTGGAACTCCGTCCACAGACAGACAGAGAGCTTCCAGATGTTCACCCCAAATCTGCTTGTGCTCAAACCCTAAAGTGCTCTCAGGTTTTCTTCTTACCCCCCCCCCCCCCCCCCCCCCCCCCCCCATTCATTGTGCGAGTGAAGAAAGAATGAAAGGTTTCTCACCAGTTTGCCCTCCTTGCTGTCCTTCCTGTGCGCGCAGCTCTGCTGGTTGAGGACCGCGGAGCAGCTGCCGGAGCGCGGCTCCATCGGGGCCGGGGACAGGGAGCAGAAGGGCGGRCTGGGACTGGGGGGCAAGCCCGAGTCCGGGCTGTCGAGCAGCCCTTCCCGGTTCTTTCCTTTCAGGCTGTCATCCATCGCTTGTAGGTGAAGGTGCCCCACCATCTCTGGGACGGCTCAAGTAAAAAGAGAAAAAAAACCACCTCAAAGACGCACAAACCCTTTCTCCTGTTTTAAACCACCGAGACTTTTCTTTAAGAACAAACAATCCTGGAAGTTTTGAAAGTTCAGATCAAGAGTTCAGCTAGCAGGAAAAAAAAGGTTTCTAATCTGAGTCCATTTGCTGCGAATAAAAAGTCACAGGAACCAGTCTCTCCAAACCGGACCGTACCTGCGCGCCTTTAATCCAGAAAAACAGTCCAAACTAGGCCAAGAAATCCGAACCGAACACTGTTAATCCTTCAGACTCAGCTCCCATAAAGTCCTAATAATCTGGATTTATTAAAAAAAAAAAAAACGCAGTGAACGTGTTGAAAAGCAAAGAGCGGTCTGGTACCGATCTGGACCAGGACGCGTCTCCTCTCTGGGTCTGAATGTGGCAGAGAGCTCCCTCCTCACGGTTCTGACAAAGTTCTTTTTTATTTATACCTGGATCCAGTCCAGCCCCTCATGATCTGGATCATTTCCACACACGACCGACAGGGGAGAGCTCGTCCCCCTGCTGTCCTGAGAGGAGCTCAGGGTCCTGCCCACAGGACTGAGGAGGGACAAGATTAGTCACTCTCAATTAAACAGATAATTACGTTTTGTTTTAAACAATAATGTGCTGTCGTTTATATACTTAAATGAGTTAAACTGATTTTTATCAGTCGGATTTTTATTTATTTTTATTAAACTTTTTTAAGAATAACCTCTTATTTAAAATGTCATCCTGATTACAGTTTATTAGTTTTAGACAGAGGTAAGGCTGAGATAAATAAGTAAAACTTTAACAGAAAATGACTGATACCCCCCAGGGGTCCATGAGCCCTATCTTGGTGGTCCTCAAAAAATTCCAATAAATTGTTAATTTGGATTTTATATAAAAAATGACTATGGGGAACAATGCACTAGTAAAACAAACATACYAAACAAAAATAATATTCCCAAAGTATTTAGGGGTTAAAATTACAATAAATGATTGTGGTTCATGAGGCACCCTTGGGATCCCCAGACCCAAAACCTGAACCCCAGCTCTAAGAAATTAAGTGTTGAATTTACTTAACCAAACTGGTTCAACTAAACTGAGTTAAGAAATTTGAGCAGTTTACATATTTTCTTGTTTAACATACAAGAAATGATTAGTGGAATCAGTTGACATAAGTTGGTTAGGTAAATCCAACACTTCATTTTTAGAGTGCATAAACACCTCTCATTATTGGTTTGGTCACTTGAATTCGTAACAAGTAAATGAGCTGTTAAATCTTAAAGTATAGAAGTAAAAGGTATCATTTTTAGTTAATGAATGTAACAAAATAAAAGTAAAAGTTACTATTTAAAAAATAGCCTACTTGGTAAAATTACAAATCCTAATTACTATACTGGTTTTAGGAGGKAAATATCAACTTGAGATAAGATGTTCTGTAGAACCAGTGCTGAGAGCTGAAGGGCTGCTGAAATCTGCTGACGAGGCTGAAGCTGAGTTTAATTTAAATAAGCTGAACAGAAGCTAAACAGTGGCTAAACTAAAAGAAGCCAAAGACTAGAAAAAGTGACAAAATCACATGTAGAATAAATGCAATGCTAACTAAAGGTAGCAAAAATGTAGCCAAAAGAAGCAATAATAGCTAAAAGGTAAAAGTAGCAWTAAGAAAGCTCTATGTTAAGAGTAGCAACAGTAACACTAGTTAAAATGAGGTGAGGGACACAGGGACACACGGAGACCAGTAGGACAACCAACCATTCTCATCTAGGGACAGTGAGTTATCCTAACCTGCATGTTTTTAGTTTGTGGCGGAAAGAGAAAACCCATGTGTGCATGGGTGAACATGTAAACTCCACACCAAGGATGGGAGATGGTCCTGCAAACAGAAAAAAAGTCTTTAGATTTTAATTTGAAGACAGCAGCGATCCGCTTTGGTCTTTTTCTGCAGGATTGTTCAAATCTTAAGAAAAGAAGAAACTTCTGTAAGCTTAATTCATGATGACCTTTTCTATTTGACTCATTAGTGCCACTAGTGTTTGGACATGGAACTGCATCTACAATCATCACTCTTTCAAAGGGCAGATAACTGACTTCAGGGGGCCAGTCAGTTTATAGCTGGGGCCAATGCCCCCATAGCCCCGGCCCTAGATCTGGTCCTGCTTCTGATTACCCGTTAGCTGGACGTTAATGAAAAGTTTTCTCCAGATTGTTCGTGTTCAAGAGGTTATCTTCAACAGGTCAGATAAAACCTGCTCAAAACTGTTATGCAGAACACAGCTTCAAACTCTCCAATACATCTTTGGCTACTCAACTGTCATTTCCTGATTTTATTTTTCCAGAAAAATCCCTAAAAAAGCTCCAAACTGGATATATTTTTAAGAGAAACAGACTCAACATCATGCATAGTGGGAACCAGGGTGGGTTAAAAAATACTTAATATACCTAATAATCAAAAATTCAAATATTGTATCACATTTTCTGAAATTTACAAYAAAACTGGTGCCAACAAAAAYCCCAGTCTTTCTAGAGGACTATCTTTTCACAGCCACGTGCATTTAATCCATCCATTATACGTTTACCTGCTTCTTCCTTTCAGGGTCAGGGGGGGTCACTGGTACCCATATCCATCAGTTACAGTGCGAGGAGTGAGGTACACACTGGACAGGTTGCAAGTCCATGACAAACAACTATTCACTCTCTCACTCACACCTAGGAACAATTTAGAGTTTAACCTATTAACCTAACAGTCATGTTTTTGGTCTGTGGGAGGAAGCCGGAGTGCCCAGAGAAAACCCATGCATGCACGGAGAGAACACACAAACTCTACCCAGAAAGGTCCCTGGGCTGGGATTTGATCCAGCGACCTTCTTGCTGAGAGGCATCAGCTCTCAACTGAGCCACCGTGCCACTAATGTCCTTTGGTAATGAGAATGAGAATGATTGACAGATGTCTTGTCCCGCCCCCTCAGTTTTCTGCTCATTGGGGCTAATTTTGTTYGGCCCAAGGCCACAGGCTTTAGCMAGTGAGGGTGGACATACACGAGTGTATTTGGGCGTGGTTTGGCATAGATTGAGGTATGATGGTGCACAAGATTAACCTAAACAAGGTGGATTATTTAATTTCTCACCTGCTTTCTTTCATGTCTTTGGATGTAAAACTGGAGGTGAAGAGGTTGAGGGTGGATAGACCAAAGGATATTCAAATCCAGCAAAGGGAAAAGCAGCAAAACCAAAGGTTTTCTGTGCCCTGGTTTCAGTGACAGGACTGGTTAATGGCAAGTGCAGCGAATAAATCTCTTTTCTGCTTCAAGTTRTAATTTGAAATCTTTACGTGTGAGAGTGAATTATTGGACAACTGACACTGACAGGCTCTGTAAGCTTGGTGGTTGTTGTAGTTGTCTTTGTGCTGAAAAAKGACATAATGACAATTTATATCAGTTTTTTTGTATTTCAAACTGGATGCCTCTGTTGATAGAATCCAATCTGCAGCATTTTATATTTCTGTATATTAGCCCACCCTGCATACCACCACCAGCTACCACTGGTGGGAAAAATACTAAACAGTGGCAGGTCTGCAGACCATTAAACATATTTTAACACCTGAATCATTAACCTTTTAAATTCTGGAGCTAATGTCACCCCAACATTATTGCAGCATCACGTTATTGCTCTGCCTCAATGTGTCCAAATAAAAACCCAGAACAACTTTCAGAATCTCTCAGACTGAAACTGGAAACACTTTGTAACATAAACTCCCATTGTGCACATTTTGTTTCATTTCTGTCAGGTCACTAAGTAGATGATTAAAAATTAAAAGGTCACTTTGAGTGTGTGTGTGTGTGTGTGTGTGTGTGTGTGTGTGTGTGTGTGTGTG